ATACACACACACACACACACACACACACATCCTATCAGTTCAGTCCTTCTGGAAAACCCTGGCTAATACAGATTTGTGAAGTCCCTCAATATACCCTGTCTTAATCCCTGGATCCTGTGAATGTCACCTTATACTATAGAATGAGACCATCACTTCTCCTGCTGTCTTTCCCAGCTTTTCCCTGTCTCCCCTTTTCCTTAGTTTATAAGACAGGAGAAGGGGGAGAAAACAAAAAGTTGGAAAGAAACAGAAGTGAGATAAATAGCTAGACGACCTTGGCACCACCACCTGGCCCTGGTGGTTAAAATAATAATGATAATATTAACCCCTGACCAAAACTACTAGTGTTATCTGTAAATTCCAGACATTGTATGAGAAAGCACTGTAAAACTTTTTGTTCTGTTAGCTGATGCATGTAGCCCCTCGTCACGTTTTCCACGCATGCTTGATTTATCATGACCCTTTTACATGGATCCCTTAAAGTTGTAAGCCTTTAAAAAGGCCACGTATTTCTTTCTCGGGGAGCTCGGCTCTTAAGACGCGAATCTGCCGACGCTCCCGGCTGAATAAAAAACCTCTTCCTTCTTTAATCCGGTGTCTGAGGAGTTTTGTCTGTGGCTCGTCCTGCTACAATACAGCAAAAGACACTTTGCAGACGTAATGATGGATTTCAAGATGGGAAGAGCTTGTGTGGTAAAGAATTTGTCCCCTGTTCCTGCTAGGAAGCATCTAAGCCCTTGGAATTTTCCAAGTGCTGTGAGTCTTTATTATTCATCAGGGCCCTGGACCACACTTGGGTTTATATGAGGAGGTGGCTTAGGATGGGGACGGGTCATGCCAGAAACATCAACCATGAGGTCTGGAATTTGCAGCCACTCGACCGAAAGGGGGACTGGAGATAAAGTTCAATCACAAGGCCAATGATTCAGTCAATCCGGCCTATGTAATGAGACCCCACTAAAGACTCCCGAGGCTTTGTGAGGTGGCTCGTGCCTGTAATCCCAGCACTTTGGGAGGCCAAGGCAGGAGGATCGCTTGAGCTCAGGAGCTCGAGACCAACCTGGACAATATGGTGAAACCCTGTCTCTACAAAAAATACAAACATTAGCTGGACAGGGTGGTGGCATGTGCCTGTAGTTCCAGCTACTCGAGAGGCTGAGAGGTGGGAGGATCACTTGAACCCAGGAGGTTGAGGCTGCAGTGAGCTATGATTGTGCCACTCCACTCTAGCCTGGGCAACAGGGCAAGACCTGGTCTCAAAACAAACAAACACACAAAACACTAAAGCAGTAATTGGATCAATCCTGCCTACTGAAACCCCAATCCTGCCTACTGAAATCAATCCTACTGAAACCCCAATAAAAAGTCAGGACACTGAGCTCAGTGGAGCTTACTGGCTGGTGAACCCATCGCCCTGGGAGTGGGGAAGGCATAGAAAGAGTGATGTGTACTGATGTTATGGGGAAGGACACAGGAGCTCTGTGTTTGGGACCTTCCCAGACCTCACCCTACATATCTCCTCATTTGGCAGGTCCTGATTTGTATCTCGTTAAGAAAACTGAAATCAGGGACAGGCGTGGTGGCTCATGCCTGTAATCCCAGCACTTTGGGAGGCTGAGGCGGGTGGATCACCAGGTCAAGAGATTGAGACTAGCCTGGCTAACATGGTGAAACCCCGTCTCTACTGAAAACACAAAAATTAGCCAGGCGTGGTGGTGGTGTATGCCTGTAGTCCCAGCTACTTGGGAGGCTGAAGCAGAATTGCTTGAACCCGGGAGGCGGAGGTTGCAGTGAGTTGAGATCGCACCATTGCACTCCAGCCTGGGTGAAAGAGCAAGACTCCATCTCAAAAAAAAAAAAAAAAAAAGAAAGAAAGAAAGAAAAAGGAAAGAAAAAAGAAAACTGAAATCATAAGTATTAGCATTTTCCTAAGTTCTGGGAGTCATTCTAGTGAATTATGGAACCTGAAGAGGTCATGATAATTTGTAGGCAGTTTATCAGAAATGTGGGTGGCTGGGGATCCCCAAACTTGTAGCTGGTATCTGAAATGAGAGCAGTCTTGATGGGGACTGTGTCCTTAACCTGTGGATGGAGTCTGCACTATCTGGGTGAATAGTGGCAGAACTGCATTTAGAATTACAGGAGATCAGGAGCGGTGGCTCATGTCTGTAATCCCAGCACTTCGGGAGGCCAAGGTAGGCGAATCACTTGAGCTCAGGAGTTTGAGACCAGCCTGGGCAACATAGAGACCACTTCTCTACAGAAAATTTTTTTTAAAAAAATTAGCCAGGCATGGTGGCACACGCCTGTAGTCCCAGCTACTCGAGAAGCTGAGGCAGGAGGATTGCTTGAGCCTGGAGGACTGCTGGGAAGTCAAGGTTGCTGTGAGCTGTGTTCATGCTACTGCACTCCAGCCCAGGTGACAGAGTGAGATCCTGCCTCATAAAGAAAAAAAAAAAAAAAAAAAAACACAGGAGATCATCCTGGATTATCAGGTCAGTCCCTAAATGTAATCCTAAGTGTTCATATAAGAAGGCAGCAAGACCAGCCTGGGCTGCATAGTAAGACCCTATCTCTACAAAAAAACTAACAAATTAGTTGGGTGTGATGGTGCATGCCTGTAGTCCCAGATACTTGGGAGGCTGAGGTGGGAGGATATCTTGAGCCCAGGAGGTCAAGGCTGCAGTGAGCTATGATCGTGTCATTGCACTCCAGCCTGGGTGACAGAGCGAGACCCTGTCTCCAAAAAAAGGTGGTTGTGAGGGGGATGCATAGAGAGATTTGATACAGAAGAAGTCATTGTCATGGCTGAAGGTAGATGCTACCCTACTGCCTTTGAAGACGGAAGAAGGGTCCAGGAATCAAGAAAGATGAGGACAATAGCTCTAGAAGCTGGAAGAGGTAAAGAAACATTTTCCCTTTGATATGGTTTGGCTGTGTCCCCCTCCCCAAATCTCACTTAAATTGTAATAATCCCCAGGGATCAAGGGTGGGGCCAGGGAGATAATTGAATCATGGGGGCAATTTTCCCCATACTGTTCTTGTGGTGGTGTATAAGTCTCTCGAAACCTGATGGTTTTATTTTTAATTTTTTTGAGATGGAGTCTTGTTCTTTAGCCTAGGCTAGAGTGCAATGGCATGATCTTTTACTCACTGCAACCTCTGCCTCCTGGGTTCAAGCAATTCTCCTGTCTCAGCCTCCCGAGTAGCTGGGATTACAGGTGCCTGCCACCACGCCCAGCTAATTTCTGTATTTTTAGTAGAAATGGGGTTTCACCATATTGGCCAGGCTGGTCTCTTGGCCAGGCTGGTCTCAAACTCCTGACCTCGTGATCTGCCTGCCTTGGCCTCCCAAAGTGCTGGGATTACAAGTGTGAGCCACCGTGCCTGGCCTCGAGATCTGATTTCATAAATGAGAGTTCCCCTGCACAAGTTCTCTTGCCCACCACCATGTAAGACATGCCTCTGCTCATCGTTTCTTTTCCACCATGATTGTGAGGCCTCCTCAGCCATGTGGAACTGCGAGTCCATTAAGCCTCTTTCCTTTATAACTTACCCAGTGTCAAGTATGTCTTTATTAGCAGCATGAGAATGGATTAATACATCCTTAGACCTTGGTTTTTGCCCAGCAAAATCCGTTACAGTAGTGGTGGGAAACTCAAACATTCTTCCAAGCCAACTGTGTCTGGAAGTCCAGCAGCCTGGCCCCTCAGTCCAGTAGGCAAGTCAATAGGCTCCTGGACTTGCCCAGTGCCTGCTCCAGACTGCAGGTACAGAGGGATCAGAGGATAGGGGGGTTGACAGGTTACAGTGGAAGATTTCCACCTGGCCAGGGAATGTGATGGTGTTCCTTCTATTTCCTGCTCAGCTGATGCTGTTATACACTCCAGTAGCCTGGGGGCTCCCAGCAGCCTGTAGTTCTAGACTCAGTTCTGCGCAGAACTAAAAGCTGCCAACCTGTCACTCCCCTGTTGAACCTGTCTCCATGGGAAATTCTTGGAGAGCCCCTAACTCTCCGAGATGGAAGCAAGAAACTGGGAGTGCAGGGTAAATTCAGATCAAAAGTCCCTGGTTGAGAAAGCCAGGTTCTATGTAACATACATCCCTGTGTGAATTCAGCTATCTGTATACCTTCCAACCTCCCAGGCCTCCTTTTTTTTTTTTTTTTTTTTTTTTTTTTGAGACATGGTCTCACTGCATTGCCCAGAATGGAGTACAGTGACTTTATCAACCAGTATGATCATAGCTCACTGCAGTCTCGAACTCCTAGGCTTAAGCGATTCTCCCACCTCAGCCTCCTGAGTAACTGGGACTACAAGCATGCACCACCATGCCCAGTCACCAAGCCTTTTTCTTCCTGGGACTTCTGCCTCCAAAGTCCTACCTTCCCAGCTTCATCTACTCAAATGCCATTGTCCCTTGGAAAATCCACCTTTTCTGGAATGTATTTCCTGACTGACCCATCCAATAGTCACAGACCCTAGATGCATGGAGCAGAAGGGACCTGCTCGTCCCATCAGGGTACGCTGTCCCCCACCTGCCTCAAGGGCTTGCCTCAGGATGCCCATAATCTCCACAACGAGGTGACAGTCTTCTCAAAGATGGGTGCCACCACTGCAGTATCTCAGGACGGTCCCTGTCCCCAAAGACAAAGGTGGCCCCTCCAAATGCACAGGTGTCCTCTCCACGCATTCCTCCATTAAATTACTGGTCACTTTGTTCCTGTGCCCAGCTAGAGCAGAATGCAGAGGTCCCAGGGGAAAGAACTGCGTCTGACCCATTTCTGTGTCCCCAGTGACCCTCTGAGCCAAGCCCCATGCCGGGGACCGAGGAAGTAATGGTGTAGAGTGGGAAACTGCCCCGACCTTCAAGACCTCCCGGCCCAGTGCAAGTTACCCACCAAAGGTCAAGAGGTCACTGAGAGAGTCCAGGGGTCACTCGTGGGGATTAAACTAGGACATCTGGGATAAAGCATAGAAAATCTCACTAGAACCAGGATCCTGGATTCATTTCTCAGATATTTATTGACGCTTCCTCAGGCTGCAAAGACAGCTCCTAGTTTGGTGGAAAATGCGAGAAAACCAAACAGTTCCAGTCCTCAGTCACCTAACCTTGGTTAGAGAGAGAAGTAGAGTCATATCCTGGGGACTCAGGAGCAGGGATTTTGGAGCAAGTGGAGGTTAGGTTGGGTCTGCGTGAGTGGAGTTGGGATGAGGTTGGCATGGAGGCCCCAGAGCCCAGGCGCTGGACTGGACAGGGCTATGTTGGGCCGAGTGTTTCTGAGACTCAGTAGTGCTGGATGAGGAAGAAAAAACTCTTTGGCGATCAGCTCCAGGAGCCAGGGAGGTGAGCAGCCCCCAGAATACCACGTGCTGCAATGGGCGTGGCTCCGGGGCACTGGGCGGGGTCAGCAGTTGTGCCTTTTCTCACAGATCCAGCCGTCCTTCTCGCTGTCACACGGTGCGTCGTTCCATAGCCCCGTGCGCAGCATCATGACACAGTCCTCGCGCCCCCGAGCATCATTGGGCTCTCCCTGGTTCCAGTGGCTGCAGTGGTTGAGTGGGAAGGTTGCTGGGAATCTAGACGGAGGATGAACGCGGGGTCCCGCCTTCCTCTCCACGCTGTAGCCTATTTATTGCTTGGGTCTACTCTAGACACCCCAGCTGTCTAACCTGAGCGTACACCTGGTATGTAAATTTTTAACGCCCAGAATTTAACCTGAGGACAGTTCCTGGGGTCCAGCCTGGCCATGCTTAAGCATGGAGCCCCAGCCAAGGGGTCCCTGAAATCTAGCCAAAGCATGCCCTCTAGAGTCTAACCTGTCTCCCTCCCCAGGTCTCACCAGGAGCCCTTCTCTCACCTGAAGCTGAGAGAGACTCCGTCCACCCACTGGTAGCCCTGAACCTTGCCCAGATGGCGCACAGCCCTCAGGCCCAGCCAGTAACCACGGCCACCTGTGTTCCGAGTCAGGAAGCCCTAGAAAGGAGGGGACATCTGAGCCTGCAGAGTCTGCCCCGCCCCGCCCCGCCCCGCCCCACCGCCTGACCACGCCTCCTCCCTCTGCGCACCTGCTCTTCCAGGCCCCCAACGATCACCAGGTGAGCGCTGGCATCCGCGCAGTGACCCTGCGCCGCCGCCCACGTGGTCTTTGGCACAGAGAAAAAGTAGCAAGAGCCCTCGAAGGACAGCCACGACGTGGGGCACGGCTCGCAGGAGTCTGCGGGGTGGCGAGGGTCGGAGAGGTCGAGTGTTTCCAGGGGGAACGCACCGAGAGCATGCAGCGGGTAGGGGTTCGGCCCCGCGGGCTCAGGGGTGGAGACACAGAACCAGGCCAAGGTCCAAGAGAGGCAGGGTCCACTTACACCCTCACAGCCCGCCCCCCGCCCCTCGTGTTGCTCACTATTATGGAGCCTCACGGCCTCCAGCGCCCGGAACAGCTCAGTGCGGACGTCCTCACGGTTCCTGCTGGCTTCAGCCAAGCCCTGGGTCACTGCGGGGTCAATGGAGCGGGGATTATGGCTGGGGTCAGGGCCAGGACCAGGGTCATGACTAGCTAAAGGTCAGGACCCCTGTCCGTGGTCATTGTGCCTTCGGTGCCAGCATCCAGGATGGCACAGGGTCAAGGGCGGTTACAACTGGGCAGGGTCTGGGTGTGGCCGATGCTGGGAGTCGCAGTTAAGGTCAGAGTGCAGCGTCAGGGTCAGGACGGGGTGCATGATCGGGGTCAGGGGTCAGCACTCAGGACGGGGTCGGGGTCCGGGGACACGGCCAGGACTTAGGGCTGGCGTCGCGTCAGGCACGCACCGCGCTCACGCAGTTCCCGCAGGGCGCTCTCCTGCTCCATCAGTTTCGCCTGTGCCTCCCCAAGCTCCGAGCGCGTGGTCTGCAGCTGCGCCTGCGTCCCGGAGCCTGGGAGTCGCCGGGTGAGAGGCCCCAGGGTGGCGAGGATGGGGCGGGACTTCGGAGACCAGCCTGCTCCGCCCCACCCGCCGCAGGCCTCGACCCCGGCCCCCCTCCCATCCCGGCCACAAGACCCCGCCCCTGCGCCCACAGCCTCGGCCGCGCCCCCTCACAGCAGCTGTGGCAGACTCCGACCTCCTCCTTCAGGGCATCCAGCGCCGCCGTCTGCTTCGAGGCTGGAACGACCCCCGCCCCAAAACGCACGCCCCCCCGGGTCACTTGGGAGGACTCAAGGGACTCCCTTCCCCACCCTGGGGCCAGCCTCAGGGACCAGAGAGTCCCCACGCACCCGAGACTCCATCTCCGGGGTCTCAAACGCTCCCTCCCCACATGCCCCGGGGGCCCAGGCGCCTGGCTTGGCACGCACCGTTTGTCCTCAGCAGGTCCTGGACGTCGAGTAGCGCCGCGCGCTCCGTGGAGGCTGCGGAGAGAGGCTCCTGCAGGCGAGGCCAGGGACTTGGAAATCCTCCCCTCGCCCGGGGGTGCGGGGTCCCCCGATTCGGGACCACAGAGGGGGCGGGCAGGCATACAACGCACACAATGTGCACACACGCCGATGGGGGACAAACGCGCGGGGACTCGCATATACAGACGGCCCGAAGATATACACACACTCTGCTCATACTCAGACGCGAGCAGAACGCCAGGGTACAGCTGGTGCACTTTGCAATGGGGGTTTTGTGTCCCCAGGGGGGCCAGACGCAACCCCTCCCCATCGAGAGTCACTCACCCTTGGACAATAGGATACTCAGAATCACAGCCCACAGGACTGTGGCGACCAGAACAGCCAGGGCCAAGAAGAGGGGTCTCCCGCTCCAGTGCACCCGGCGTCCCCAGTGCCCTGGCAGAATAAGGACGGCATGCTGGGTCCCCCAGGACTGAGCCCTGGAGGCCTGGGTTCCTCCCAGGAAACTGAGATTCAGAGAAGTTAAGTAACTTGCCTATGGCCACACAGCTTCTAAGTGGCAGAGTGGGAATTGGACCCTGGTCCAACTGGCTCTGTGGCCTGTGGTGTCTCTCCTGCACCCACGACCCTGGCCCGTCTTGGCTCTTCCCTCCCCTCCCCCATCAAACCCCAGACACTGGGACAGGGATGAGGCAGTCTGGTTGCTCATACCTCCGGGGACCTCCTCCGAGCTGCCGCCCCACTTGCTGTACCTGGTGGTGTCCATGGCCGTGCAGGCACCCAGTCCCTGGCAGAGATATAAACTTCACCCCTGTCCTCACTGGACCTATGCACTCCCTTCCTTCCTTCTCATTTTCTTGGCCTTAATTCCTGGCAATCGGAATCCATAGACCAATCACAGGATTGGCCCCTTTCTAGGCTGGGCTGGGCTGGGCTGGAATAAGGAGGGACAGTTCCAGCCTCCCTGTCCTGGCCACTGCAGCGCCATCCCCAGGCTGGTGCTGGAGGCTTCTCTTTGGAGCTAGGTCCCCATCCCTTATGGGCCTGGGGCTGGGTTTTATCTCGAGAGGGACACACTGAACCCGACCAAATGGTAACCCCTTCTGGCTCCTGAGAAAGCCCCCTCAGGCGTAGCCCCCCAGGCCAGTTCAGGTCCCGCTTCAACTCCCCTGCCGGTGCCTGCAGAGGCTGGGTTTGAACCTGACCTTGATCCAGTCCCTCTGGACCAGAAGGGAACAAACAGGTTTGTTACGGAGGTAGCTGGCTGAGCTGCAGGACTCTATCACTGTGTGGGTTCTAGGTAGCTTCTAGAAGCCTTAGTTTTCCCCTCTGTGTAAAGGAGATGGATATGGACCTCTCTCACAAAGATACTATGATAAAGAAACGGGACAGTCTCACTGGCTCACACCCGTAACCCCAGCACTTTGGGAGGCCAATGTGGAAGGATCGCTGAGCCCAGGAGTTCCAGACCAGACCAGCCTGGGCAACATAGCAAGACCCTCATCTCTACAAAAAAAAAAAAAAAAAAATATATATATATATATATATATGAAAAAGAAAATTGAAAACATAGAAAAAAGAAAGAAAATGAGGTTATACCTGTCTACCTAGGACCATCTCAGGCACATCAAAAACGCTCAATGTTCATGAAGTTCATGCATTCTTTCAACAAACATTGAGCGCCTGCCATATACTAGGCATTGATCTTGGAACTGGGGCCACATCAGAGAGTAAAATAAGCAAATTCCTCTCTTCTTGGAGCTAATATTCTAGGAGAAGTGTGGGGAGACAGACTCCATACTCAACATAATAAACATAATCGAAAACGTAAGTTGTATAACATAGTAGTTCTCAGCTGGGGGCAATTATGCCCACCAGGGGACATTTGCCTATGACTGGAGTCACTTTTGGTTGTCACAGAATGTGTGTGTGTGTGTGTGTGTGCGCGCGCGCACGCGCGTGCGTGCTCCAGGCATCTAGTGGCTAGAGGCCAGGGATGCTGCCCGAAGTCCTACAATGCACAGGACATCCCTCATAGCAAAGAATGATCTGACTCCTAATATCCATAGTGCAAAAGGTGGGAACCCTAGTATGCTAGGGTCATAATAGTCATAAATGTCATAATAGTCATAAAAGTCATAAATGCTATGAAAAAGAAATGAAGGGAAGAAAAAGTCCAGTAAGATAAGTGCTTGGCAGGACTGGGATGGGTACTAGGCAGTGGGCAGTGGCTAGGGTGGCTGGGGCCAACCTCACTGACAAGGTGAAATGTTGAGCACTTAATGGAATATTCCAGCCCCTCTTGTAGATATGTAAACACACTCCATCTTCTTGAGCCTCTCAAAAACCCTTATCCATTTTTTCATTTAAAAATCTTATTTGAGACCAGGCGCGGTGGCTCAGCTCTGCAATTTCAACACCTTGGGGAGCCAACGCAGGAGGATCGCGAGACGAGCCTGGACAATGTAGCAAGACTCCATCTTTACAAAATTAAAAAAAAAAATTAAATTACCTAGTCATGGTGGTGTGTATCAGTAGTCCCAGCTCCTCAGGAGGCTCAGGCTGGAGGATCGCTTGGGCCCAGGAGTTTGAGTCTGCAATGCCCACTGCACTCTAGCCTGGGTGACAGAGTGAGACCCTGTCTCAAAAATAAACAAATAAATAAATAAATTGTACTTGATGTCTATTTCCCCCCTCTTCTTCCAGGAATGAGAGGCATTCACAATAAAATGAAATTTAAAAAACAAGAGGATTTTGTAAAAGAAAGATGGAAGGGAAAGGAAGGTGAAGAAGAAAACACACATCTAAAAAGACAAGCCTTGTACACAAAACTCAGACCAGGGCGTCAGACTTCATACCAGCATCTCCCGGCTTTGTTGAGGCAGGGAATAGGGTCAGACACCCAGCAATATGCAATGGACTCTTCCAGAATAATGTCTTGGGGTGGGATGGGAGAGGGGGATGTGTAGAATTAAGTCCTCATGAAACTTTCCATAAATGCAGTAGCAATTGGCTGTCACTGAGCGGAGAGTAGATGACTTCCTGGCTCAGGGAGTGGAAATGAAACCCCACAAGGATTGCACAATCTCCGTCCAAGGCCACCATCGGAATGTGTTCTGGGGAAAGGATTTAGATGGCAGTGTTTCATCAGCCCTTACGGAGGAGATAGATTAGTTCATTGGAGAAATCGGAGGAGGTTTTCTGGAAGAGATAGCATGAGACGTGTGGCTTCGACAACATGTGTACTGTGGACTGAGAAAGGAAGGACACACGAGGCACAGGGCACAGCCAAGGCAAAGGCAAGGGGGCAGGAAAGTGGGGCTCTGCTGGATACACCTGTGGCTGAAGCTGCCTTGGCAAGCTGGGGTGGAGCTGTCCAGCTTAGCGAGGAAACCAGAAGGTTGCCCATCAATGTCCTGTGCCCAGACCTCACTGCAGGGTAATTGAGAGGGGAAGAGAGGTCCTAGAAGGAGGCAGCAGACCTCTACCCTCTATCCCTGGCCCAGGACAAGGAAGGGAGGCCTGTTTCTCAGGTGGGTGGGGAACATGTAACAAGGGAATTTGAAGACGATATGATGAGTCTGGGAAGTACAAGAGACTGTGAGAACCACTGGAGACACTGGCTGAGCCTGGAGGGCTTCCTGAAGGAGGTGATGCCTGGGGAAAGAGTCAGAATTATTCTAGAGGAGATGGATACATTAAAGAACGGTCCCAACATGGTATCAGCACATGCAAAGATTGGGAGAGTAAGGGAGCAGGACTTGTTGGAGAAGCTAAGACTAATTCAGGGGCAATCGTCTGGGGCTAGGGGGTCAGCTGGGGTCACATCACACAAGGACCTGAATAGCAGGGACAAGAGGTTTGGGTGAATGTGGGAAGAAGGTAAAAGTCACAGGATTCAGCTCCAAGGCCATGACCACTCTGGTTTCCATTCACTGCAGAGATGAGAGGATTGCTGTAACCAGGGAAGCCAGCCCACTGCACAGGGCATGTGGTGTATTGGTTGTCGCTCTGAAGTTTGGCTTTGCTTTTATTTTTTATTATAAAGTATGCAAAGAGGTATGGGTATGCAGGAAAAAATGAAAACGCTTATGCCTTCCACTCGGCTTTATCAAGTTTTGACATCTTCACATATTTCAGATCTTCTTAAAAATCATCACATTACAAATAACATAATGTAACAAATAACATCGTCACATAACAAATCATAGCAAACAGAGTGGAGGTCTCTTGTACCCCACCCTCCTCTTATTCCCCTCCCCAAGGCCACTGCCCTCCCAAACTTGGTGTTTATCCTATTTTAAAATGCTTTAATTACACATCTTTCCATGGTGAATATATTGGGCTGTTTTGCACATCTGGGAGCTTTATTAAAATGTCATCACATGGTCTATATCCTTCCGGAACTTGTTTTTGTCCTCTCCACATTACAATTATGAGATATGTCTATTCAACACTCATTCTTCATTTAAAATGAAGATAAGCACAAAAAAAAATAAATGCTTAGTTAACAGAGAACAGGATAAAGCTTCCTTAATTTGAGAAGCAGCAATTTCCAGGATCCTACAGAAATGTCTTGCTTAATAGCGAAACATGAGAACCATTTTTGGTAAGACCCAGAACAAATTTAAAATGTCCACGGTGTGGTGGGTTGAACAGTGTCCCCCAAAAGAAATGCTGGGGCCAACTGTGGTGGCTTACACCTGTAATCCCAGCACTAGGCTGGAGAAGCACTTGAGGCCAGGAGTTGGAGACCAACCTGGACAACACAGGAAGACCCCATCTCTAAAAAAAAAAAAAAAAAAAAAAAAATTTGGCTGGCGTGATGACACAATGCTTATAGTCCCAGCTTCTCAGGAGGCTGACATAGGGCAATCTCATGAACTACGCTCCAGCCTGGGCAACAGAGCGAGATCCTCTTTTTTTTTTTTTTTTTTTTGAGACAGGGTCTCACTCTGTTTGCCCAGTGGCAGAATCACAGCTCACTGCAGCCTTGACCTCCTGGGCTCAAGTGATCCTCTTGCCTGAGCCTCCCAAGTAGCTGGGACTGCAGGGGAGCACCACCATGCCTAGCTACTTACTTACTTCCTTTTCTTTCTTTCTTTCTCTCTCTTTCTTTCTTTCTTTCTTTCTTTCTTTCTTTCTTTCTTTCTTTCTCTTTCTCTCTTTCTCTCTCTCTCTTTCTCTCTTTCTTTCTCTTTCTTTCTTTCCTTCTTTCTTTCTCTCCTTCCTTCCTTCCTTCCCTCTCTCTATCTCTCTCTCTCTTTCTTTTTTTCTTTCTTTCTTTCTTTTTTTTTGGACAGAGTTTTGCTCTTCTTGCCCAGGCTGGAGTACAATGGTGCAATCTTGGCTCACTGCAACCTGCGCCTCCTGGGTTCAAGCAACTCTCCTGCCTCAGCCTCCCAAGTAGCTGGGGTTACAGGCCCATGCCACCACTCCTGGCTAATTTTTTTGAATTTAGTAGAGATGGGGTTTCACCATGTTGGCCAGGCTGGTCTCGAACTCCTGATCTCAGGTGATCCACCCACCTCGGCCTCCCAAAGTGCTGAAATGTGAGCCACGGCACCCAGCCAGTTTTTCTATTTTTTGTACAGTTTCGATCTCACTTTGCTGCCCAGACTGGTCTCGAACTCCTGGCCTCAAAGAGATCCTCCCACCTCTGCTTCCCAATGTGCTGGAATTATAGACGTGAGCTGCCTCACACAGCCCCTGTCTCTTAAAAACAAAACAAAGCAAAATGAGAGGAGAGAGACACAGAGGGAAGATGATGTGAAGAAGGAGGAAGGGAGAAAATCATGACAACAGAAACAGAGATTCCAGTGATGGGTCTACAAGCCAAGGAACGCCAAAGGTTGTTGGCAACCACCAGAATCTAGAGGCGCAGGGAAGGATTCTCCCCTACAGGATTCAGAGTGAACACGGCCCTGCTGACATCTTAAGTTCAGACTTCTGGCCTCCAGGACTGTGAGAGAATATCTTTGTGTTGTTCAAAGTCCCCGCTTTGTGCCGCTTCGTTATGGCAGCCCTAGCTCACCGATTCTGGCTGGATAAGGGGTAATTTCTGTGAGCCTGCCGAAACGCCTTACTCAATAGTGAAATGTGAGAAGCATATTTAGTAAAATCAAGAACGCGATAAAGATGTCCCTCTTGCTAGTTTGTCAATGCAATGAGAAAATATAAAGAATTAAGACCTGTAAACACTGGAAAGGATGAGTCAAAGCTGACAACATTTGGAAGCCGCGATCTTGTATCTAGGCAGTTCTAGGGACTTCTGGACTAATTAAAGATCTCAGCAAGGTGATTCTTTAAAAGGAGCAGCTTTCTTAGGTTGTAGCAGTGAGTATTTGCAAATATAGAAGGAAATAAAAACCCTCTTCACAATACAAGGAAGATTTGATTTACTTATTTATTTTAGAAACCTTGGTCTTGCTATGTTGCCCAGGCTGGTCTTGAACTCCTGAGCTCAAGCGATCCTTCTGCCTCCCACAGCATTGGGATTATAGACATGAGCTACTACAAGAAAAATTCTTGAACATTAAAGAATAATTATAGGAAGAGTATAGATTAAGCCCTTACATGTAGCTAAGATCTGAATAACTAAAGACACAAAGCTGGACACAGCAGCTCACACCTGTAATCCCAGCACTTTGGGAGGCCGAGGTGGGTGGATTGCTTGAGGTCAGGAGTTCAAGACCAGCCTGGTCAACATGGTGAAACCCTGTCTCTACTGAAAATACAAAAATTAGCTGGGTGCGGTAGCAGGCACCTGTAATCCCAGCTACTAGGGAGGCTGAGGGAGGAGAATTGCTTGAATCTGGGAGGCGGAGGTTGCAGTGAGCCGAGATCTCACCATTGCACTCCAACCTGGGCGACAGAATTACAAATGCCCACCACCATGCCTGGCTAAATTTTGTATTTTTAGTAGAGACGGGGTTTCACCATGTCGGCCAGGCTGGTCTCGAACTCCTGACCTCAAGTGATCCGCCTGCCTTCATGGTGAAACCCCATCTCTACTAAGAATACAATAATTAGCCAGGCATGATGGCACGTGTGTGTAATCCCAGCTACTCCAAAGGCTGAGGCAGGAGACGCACTTGAACTTGGGAGGTAAAGGTTGCAGTGAGCTGAGATTGTGCCACTGCACTCCAGCCTGGGCAACAGAGTGAGACTTCATTTCCAAAAAAAACGTGTGAACATATGCTAAATCCACCATGGCAATGAATAAATATTTGAGGAGGAGGAGGTGCTTTGAGTTATCCAAAACCCCTGTTTCTCTTTCCCATCTCACTTGTTGAATTAAGGCATTCAACCTTAGATCTTGCCTGAAGCAATTATTTATAGGATGGTCTAATGGTGATATCCTATTTCCTTCATTCCTCATTCACTTATTCGTTGGAATCATTCTGTAAGGAAGACCAGATACATTTTAAAAATAAACTCTAGTTTCTAGAGTAGTTCTAGGTTCACAGCAAAATCGAGGTGAAGTACAGAGGGTTCCCATATCCCTCCTATCCCCACATAAGCACAACCTCCCTTGCTGTCAACATCCCCCACCAGAGTGGTGCATTTATTTATTTATTTATTTATTTATTTATTTAGAGATAGAGTTTCACTCTGTCATCCAGGCTGGAATTCAGTGGCGCGATCTCGGCTCACTGCAACCTCCGCCTCCCGGGTTCAAGAGATACTTCTGCATCAGTTTCCCGAGTAGCTGGGACTACAGGCACGTGCTACCACGCCCAGCTAATTTTTTGTATTTTTTTTTTTTTTTAGTAGAGACAGCGTTTCACCATGTTGGCCAGGATGGTCTCGGTCTCCTGACCTCGTGATCCACCTGCTTAGGCCTCCCAAAGTGCTGGGATTACAGGTGTGAGCCACCGCGCCCAACCAAGTGGTGTGTTTATTACAATTGACGGACTGACATTGACTTGTCATTACTACCTACGGTCCCTAGTTTAGATGAGGGTTCACTCTTGGTGTCCTATGTTCTACGGTTTTGGACAAATGTATAATGACATGTATTCACCATTACGGTATCAGATATACGGAATAGGTTCCTAAAAATCCTCAGGCTCTGTCTGCTCACAAATAGATTTTTCAAAATTCCATTGAAGGATTGCCAAACAGATTTAAAAACAAACCTGATGCGCGGATTATCTGGAATATGATAGAGAGGTTGCAACTAGGGAGAAGAACCTCTTGAGGTCAGAGAATGAGGAGGGAGTCAGCTTTTGTTTTCGCTGTAGAGCTTGATGTTTCAGTTCCATGTGCACAGGTGACATTCAAAAAGCAAAAGGTTTAAAGATAGAGTAATTTAAATATCATCTAAAATATTTCACAAGAGTGGCTGAGAACATTTTGAATAAAGAAGAACCGTAACAGGGCAGGGCTTGGTGGCTTCTCCCTATAATCTCAGCTTTTTGGGAGGCTGAGGCAGGAGGATCTCTTGAGCCCAGGAATTCGAGACCAGCCTGGGCAACATACTGAGACCTTGTCTCTAAAATAAAATAAAATAAAAAATTGTGTGGTGGTGCATGCCTCTAGTCCCAGCTACACAGGAGGCTGAGGTGGGAGGATCACTGGAGCTCAGGAAATCGAGGCTGCAGTGAGCCACTGTGATCACACTACTGCACTCCAGCCCGGGTGAAAAAGTGAGATCGACACACACACACACACACACACACACACACACACACACACAAAGTGCCATGCCTCGTAGTTATCAAAATATTATAAGCTGGCTTGGGTTTCCTTAGATACAGAGCTTGAGACAAGGGTCTGGATACAAGTAGGTGATCTGGGAGGGGATTCCAAGAAGCACCGGCAGAGGACGGGGAAAGTGAAGACAGTCAAGTAGGGAAAGGAAAAAAGCCGATTCAGAGGCGTCAGTGAGCTTCTGACCCACGTGGGTGACTGGACTCAGCTCCTCTGGGAGCCTCTGCACTCCAGGGAGATGGTACAGACAAGCTTTACAGTTCCCCTGTCTGTTGAAGGTTGACTCTAAATGAGATGGAATTTAGCCTGCAAGCTGTTTATGAAGGAATGTCCTTGGGGTCAACAATAGTAGAAGGGAGGTGGCATTTGTAGCGTCTTTTTTACACCAAAATATTCTCTAATTCTCACACTAGCCACCTGGAGTCAGCACCACATTCCACAAGTTAAAAAGCCCGGTCCTGCCGGGCGCGGTGGCTCAAGCCTGTAATCCCAGCACTTTGGGAGGCCGAGACGGGCGGATCACGAGGTCAGGAGATCGAGACCATCCTGGCTAACACGGTGAAACCCCGTCTCTACTAAAAAGTGCAAAAAACTAGCCGGGCGAGGTGGCGGGCGCCTGTAGTCCCAGCTACTTACTTGGGAGGCTGAGGCAGGAGAATGGCGTAAACCCGGGAGGCAGTGCTTGCAGTGAGCTGAGATCCGGCCACTGCACCCCAGCCTGGGCGACAGAGCGAGACTCCGTCTCAAAAAACAAAAAAACAAAACAAAACAAAAAAGCCCGGTCCCACAGGAATAACCCTATTTCAGATCCCAGGTACAAAGGGGATGCCCAGGCCACCCACACTTCCGCCTGCCCAACAAAAATTGGGGGTCTTCACAACTCCTTTCAGATCCAGTAATTTGCTAGAATGACACAGAATTCAGGAAAACAATTTGCTTATGTTCTTACCGAACTGAATTGGGTCTGTTTACCACATGTAATGAAAAACCAAACAACTAAGCACAGATTTTGTAGAGATAAAAGTTTACTTCAAGGCAGCCAAGCAAGGAGAGAGGAGTCTGGCTCAAATCTGTCTCTCTGAGCTGGGGGCTGCTGCAGATTTTATATACAGAGGGTAGTGAGGTGTAACCTAATTGGATCATGTAACGAGGTGATGTGGGAGGCTTGATCTGATTGGATCATACCATGGGATGATGTCAGAGTGCAATCTGATTGGATCATAGATCATGCCATGTGGTGTCCGCTTCTTAATTCAGTCCCCATTTGTTGGATCGAACACTTAGGTTCTGCCTGTGGCTACTTGCTTGGGTCATCTGGGCATGATCAAAGTATGTACCTTGCAACCTGGGGGTCCATGTAACTGAAAAATAACTGGCCATTTTACTACACAGAGTTGAACCAGATTGGGCTACTTCTGTGGCTACAATGTTTACCAGTTTATTATAAAAGATACAACTCAGAAACAGCCAAATGGAAGAGATGCGTAAAAGAAAGGAGGATTTCGGGGTGGAAGGGGTTGCATCGAGCCTCCATGCCTTCTCTGGGTGCCATTGGTTGACTGGGGGAATGAATTCCCTGGTGCTACCAGCCTGCAGGATGAACTCTGGCAACCAGTAAGTCCCCAGTCAAAGGGGTGCAGGGGCTGGTAAGACAGAAATTGAGCAGATGGTAGTTTGCATGGATGAGATAAAGCCTCAGGGGACATAGCAGCTACACATGGGAGAGTAGGTTAATGGAACACACCAAGCCCACCCTCCAAAGGCATTCCACACCAGGTCACTTACAAAGCTCCCAAGATGAACCAGAAACACAAGCTCTACACCAGGGGGCCTTGGAGGCATCCGAAGAAGGACCATGGGGATCCAGGCCCATGGGGATGAAGAATTTGACAGAGGCCAGGCAGAGCGGCTCACGCCTGTAATCCCAGCACTTTGGGAGGCCAAGGCCATCAGATCGCCTGAGCTCAGGAGTTCAAAACCAGCCTGGGCAACATAGCAAAACCTTGTCTCTACAAAAAGTGTGAAAATTACCAGGGCTTGGCGCGTGCCTGTGGTCCCAACTACTCAGGAGGTTGAGGTGGGAGAATTGCTTGAGCCCGAGAGACTGAGGATGCAGTGAGCTGTGATCATGCCACTGCATTCCAGCCTGGGTGACAGAGACCCTGTCTCACAAAACAAAACAAAAATAAAGAATCTGACAGAGAACAGTCCCAGAGATTTTGTGAAGGTCCGAGGATGGAGAGAAGGAACCCTGGCTTAAAAGTGGCGAAGTTCCACTATGCCGCGTGGGCAATCGGGGATGCAGAGGCTGAGGAGAGAAGCTGCCCTTCATCTCTGGAGCAGGAGGCTGCAGACTTTTTGCAGATCCAGAATTTGGCAGCGCTGCATTTGTCGTCATTCCAGCCATTGCCGTTAAATTCCACACAGTCTTCCTCCCCGATATTGTTGGGCTCTCCTCTGTTCCAATATTGCTTGAAGCTGTAAAACCCATACAGAATGTGAGCCTCTGCCCCACCTGCTACATGAGCTGTGTTTCTACCTTCCGAAATCTTGATGCTTTTTCTTTTGAGACAGAGTCTCGCTCTGTCTCCCAGGCTGGAGTGCAGTGGTGCAATCTCGTGTCACTGCAACCTCCGCCTCCCGGGTTCAAGCGATTCTCCTGCCTCAGCCTCCTGAGTAGCTGGGATTACAAGCGTGTACCACCAGGCCTGGCTAATTTTTGTACTTTTGGGGGTTTTTTTGTTGTTTGTTTTGTTTTTGACACGGAGTCTCACTCAGTCGCCCAGGCTGGAGTGCAGTGGCGCGATCTTGGCTCACTGCAAGCTCCACCTCCTGGGTTCACACCATTCTCCTGCCTCAGCCTCCCGAGTAGCTGGGACTACCCAGCTAATTTTTTTTGTATTTTCAGTAGAGAGAGGGTTTCAGCGTGTTAGCCAGGATGGTCTTGATCTCCTGACCTCGTGATCTGCCTGTCTCGGCCTCCCAAAATGCTGGGATTACAGGCATAAGCCACTGCGCCCGGCCATTTTTGTACTTTTGGTAGAGACGGGGTTTCACCATGTTGGCCAGGCTGGTCTCGAACTCCTGACCTCAGGTGATTCACCTGCCTTGGCCTCCCAAAGTGCTGGGATTACAGGTGTAAGCCACCATGCCCGGCCTCTTGATTCTTTAATATCTTCCCTGCATGTGTATGCTGGACACACATTGCTCTGCACACCCCATAGTGTTTGAGTGACATTGCCTTGAGTTCCTGCCTCTCTTGCTGCACCCCATCCTTGAAAGAACTTCACCTATTGAGGGTGTGATTTTCAAATACAAACCAACCAGTCTGGAGTCCACACCCCCAACCACCTGCCTTACTGCTGGGCTCTTGCATTCATACCCACTATCTTCTTCTTCTTCTTCTTCTTTTTTTTTTTTTTTTTTTCCTGCCTTACCGCTGGGCTCTTGCATTCATACTCACTATCTTCTTCTTCTTCTTCTTCTTCTTTTTTTTTTTTTTTTTTTTTTTTTTGGAGACAGAGTCTTACTCTGTCACCCAGGCTGGAGTAGTGCAGTGGCATGATCTCAGTTCATTGCAACCTCCGCCTCCTATGTTCAAGTGATTCTCCTGCCTCAGCCTCCAAAGTAGCTGGGACCACAGGCGCATGCCACCACACCCAGCTACTTTTAGTATTTTTAGTAGAAATGGGGTTTCACCATGTTGGCCAGGCTGGTCTCGAACTCCTGACCTCAGGTGACCCGCCTGAGCCAAGTGTCAGACAGCTAGGGACAGAACCTACCCCACAGAGCCTGCGATATAGGATTCATACCTGCCAATCCTAAGCCTCCTTGCCTGGCCCTGTCTGTTCCTTCCCACAGAATCTATAATAAAGGCTCTGGCTGACAGTTGCCCCCTCTTTGTCTCATGACCCACCTGGTGCTTCATGAGCTGTGATGTGTCCTCTCTCTAGGGATCTGTCAATATGACAAGCTACTCACAATGGCAGGTGTCTCCTGAGCTGGTGGCCTTACTAGATCTCAGACTTCCTATTAATACACTATATTTTAACACACCCACCCACGGGGTAAGCTCCTCCTGCAGCTCTGCTGGTGGAATTCTAGGCACCTGCCATGCTGTCTGCAGGTGCGTATGAAGACCACTTAACTCAGTAAAAACCCCCAGATTCTTGGATCTAGGGTGTCAGGGAGTTGGGGAGGATCCCCAGGGAAAGTTCAAGTCAGAGTTTGACGATTCCAGCCCCAGTAGATAGGTGCCCCTTCTGAGATCTACCTGGTTGACAGAGGTGAGTCGTCCACCCATTGCCATGTGCCTTCGTGATTTAGGTCTGAAAGTCCCATCCAGGCGAAGCGGTTACTTCTGGAAGACTGCAGCTGTAGGAAGTTCTGGAGGGTAGAGGAGGAGTCAGGAGGGAGCTCTGCTTCCCATTTTCCAGGTTCTGTCTCCCCATCTCTTGGCAGGAAGTTCTGCTTGTAGGCTAACCTTCAGCCTTCCGGTACACTGGGTCCTGAGCCCCCTCGTGTCTGACTCTCTCTCACATGTGTATCCCACGGCACATGTGTCCTGACGTGCACACATCCATGCACAGCTGGCCTCTCTTCACACACTCTTGCTAACACTGCATGTTTATCCATTTTATACATTCTGTGCACGTCTGCACACATTTACTCATAACTGGGCTTAATGTATTGGAGCCAGATCCAACCATTTCCTAATTGCTGGTCATGTGCATCTCCTTTCAGCTCTGCCCTGAGTGACATCACATTGACAGCTTGAAATCAGCCACCTGGCCGGGCGCTGTGGCTCACACCTGTAATCCCAGCACTTTGGGAGGCCGAGGCGGGCGGATCACAAGGTCAGGAGATCGAGACCATCCTGGCTAACACGGTGAAACCCCGTCTCTACTAAAAATACAAAAAATTAGCCGGGCGTGGTGGCAGGCACCTGTAGTCCCAGCTACTTGGAGGCTGAGGCGGGAGAATGGCGTGAACCTGGGAGGCGGAGCTTGCAGTGAGCCAAGATCGCACCACTGCACTCCAGCCTGGGCGACAAAGCAAAGCGAGACTCCGTCTAAAAAAAAAAAAAAAAGAAAAGAAATCAGCGGCCATGGGAATATTTACACCAGGGAAACTGGCAGACATAACACATCAGGTTCTTCCCCCAGAGAGCTGGTTGTTAACCACTTGTGGCATGCCACTGGGGGTGACTTATAGTTTATATTTTCCCCAGAGCTTTCACACATGTTCAGGTTTGGTTTGTATCTGCTCTAAGGGTACCTGGGACTCCCTCATTCATATCCTTCTTCTCCCATCTTTTTAAGTGGAGCAAAACCTCTCTTCTGCAAAATCCTCTCTGAGCACCTCCTCCCTGGTTGGCCGGAAGCCATGCCCCAGGCCAGGACGGGGACCCCCACCAGGTGTACCTGCTCCTCAGCACTTTTGATTACGACGAGCTGGGCCCCCACTTCCTGGCAGGCGGTGATGGAGTCATGCCAGTTCCGCTGGGAGTTCGATATGAAGTAACAGTTTCCTTGGAAGAATGTCCATTCCCAGGGACAGGGGCGGCACAGGCGTTCTGTTGCAGGAGGCCGGTCAGGGCTGGGCTCAGATTAGGTTGTCCATATTCCTGTATCTGCCCAGCCTTCAAGGTCTTGAGAGTCGGAGCCCTTCCTTCACTGGGTGGACCATTCCCCTCCCCACTTCCCGAGACCCTCCCCCATCCCCATGAGAACCTGGGAGTCCTGGCCCCATCTCCCCCAGACTAGGAGAAGTCGGAGCTTTAGAGCACAGAACAGAAGGCAAGAGACTAGCTTGATTGAGTGCCTACCGTGTACCTGGCCCACTGAACACCAAGTGCAAGCATCGTTGTTAATCTGTGTTCTTATTTCACAGAGGAAGAAACTGAGGCTCAGAGAGGGTTAGTGACTCAAGCAAAGTCACGCACCGTGGAAACCCTCCCAGGCCCAAGGACCCCTGGCATCTGGCCACTCACCCACAGCAGCCTTCAGCTGGGACAGGTCCTGGGAGATCTCATCCTGCCTGGACTGATCCAGCCTCTGGGAGCTGGGGTTCTTGGAGACTGGGATAAGGAAAGAAATTGCAATGATTAAACACCTGCTGTGTGCCACACCCTACATTGTCCCCCTAAGGACGTCATTTCTGAGCACAAAAATCTTGTTTAAATCCTTTTTTGGATAAGGAAAACTGACACCCAGAGAAGGCAGCAGGGAAGGGACAGGAGAGCCTGTCCTCCTTCCCTCCCCTGCCCTGGAGATGAGAGTGGTCACGGGGAAAGGCCTCTGGAAACCCAAAGGGACAGAAGGCCAGCTTTTAGCTCTTCATTCGTCTTGGAACTGGCCACCCCCAGCTGCGTCTACAGCAGAAGAACCAGGCCTGGGAGGCCAGGACTCTCAGAGCCCACTGCTGACCTTGGACAAGGATGGCCACCAGCAGCCCAGTGAAGAGCGTGAAGAAGAGGAGCGGCAGCACCAGGGGTGCGTGGCCCAGACACCCTGCAGGAGAAAAGATTGCTTGGTTCCAGCATGCCAGTGCCCAAGCCTCAGCCTGGCCCAGGGAAAGCCTGGCCACAGCCCCACCTCCCCAAATGGCAGGAGTGAAAGCCCCAGCCCCAACTCTCCACGTGGCAGGAGTCAAGCCCCCAGCCTCCACCTACCCAGGACCCAGGAGTCCAGGAACCCAGCCCTTACTTCCCAGGTCCCAGGAGTGAAGGCCCCAGCCCCCACCTCCCCAGCCCCCAGGAACCCAGGCCCCAGCCTCCACCTCCTAAGGTATCAGTAGTCCAGGTCCCAGCCCCTACCTCCTTAGGATGCAGGAGTCCAGGACCCTGCTCCTACCTCTCCAGGATCCAGGAGTCCAGACCCCAGCCTCTACCTCCCTAGGACCCAGGAGTCCAGGAACCAAGCTCTCACCTCCCAGGTTCCAGGAGTGAAGCCCCCAGCCCTTACCTCCCCAGGACCCAGGAACCCAGACCCCAGCCCCCACCTCCTCACATCCCAGGAGTCCAGACCGCAGCCTCTACCTCCCGAGGACTCAGGAGTCCAAGTCCCCAGGTCCCACCTCCCCAAGACCCAGGCCCATAACCCCCACCTCCCCAGGACCCCAAAACCCAGGCCCCAGCCTCCACCTCCTCAAGTCTCAGTAGTCCAGGCCCCAGCCCCTGACTCCATAGGACCCAGGAGTCCAGGCTCCCAGCCCCCACCACCCCAGGTCCCAGGAATCCAGGTCTCAGCCCCCACCTCCCCAAGACCCAGCCTCTGCCTCCTCATGTCCTAGGAGTCCAGGCTCCAGCCACCAGCTCCCCAGGACCCAGGAACCCAGGACCCAGCCTCCACCTCCCCAGGTTCCAGGAGTCCAGGCCCCAGCCACCAGCTCCCCAGGACCCAGGAACCCAGGACCCAGCCTCCACCTCCCCAGGTTCCAGGAGTCCAGGCTCCAGCCACCTGCTCACCAGGACCCAGGAGTCTGGGAGGTTCTGTTCTCTCCTCCCTTCCAACTAACCCTTCTCTACCTGCTAAGCTCTTGTAGCCTCGAGTCTGTCGGAATCCAAAGTCTCTTGGAAAAAAATTCATACTGCTAGTTATCAGCTCTTCCTCTTCTAAATGGATAAATACGAACTCAGAGCCTGGGCAGGCTGAGGCCAGGGCTAGCCATCCCCTTCCCACCCCAGGATCCCAAAGCACTCCAGGATCCTAGTGCACCCCAGGATCCCAGAGCCCCAGCTCAGCCTCACCCAGGAGGCCCAGCGGCTGCGCCCTTTGTTCCTTGGAGTCACTCATGTTTCTCCCACCGTCCCTCAATTTCCAGAACTTCTGGGGACCACGATGCTTATTTCCCACCCCGCGATTCTCACTCCCTAAATCTCTTCTTACTGAGGAAGAAAAACAGGAAACTGGGTAGGGATATAACACCCAAAAGGCCAGTGGGAGGGGTCAGAGCATGAGATGGCCCTGACCTTGCAGGAATTTCAAGGAGCTGGTGGGGAATGGTCTGAGGCTGACAGGGAGAAGGATTCGTCCACTCCTTCCATAGTTGAGCTGCGTGTTGCTTTTAATGAAATCCAGTAAGTTCTAATGAAAAGTGACTTCGTTATACCCCTCCACCTAGGGCAGGGATGGGCAGGCAGTGCCCCTAGTTCCTGGAACCATCATCCTCCCTGACCACAGGCTTTGTTGCTGTGGTCTGCTGATGTCCTCATTTATGAGAATTTTTGCTGACTTTGGGAGTTGAGGCTGAATCAGAATTCCTTGTTTATTTAATGCCTATGATAGTCAAGTACTTTTCTAGTAAGTTTATAAACTCATTCACTTGAATCTTCCTACCCTATGGTAGATCATATGATTTCCGTTTTGCAGATGGGAGATACTAAAGCACAGTGAGGTTATGTAACTGGCCCAAGGTCACACAGCTAGTAAATGGGACATCTGGGATTTGAACCCAGACAGTCTGCCTCAATGACAGTCAAAGACAGTTCACCAAAAGACAGTCAAATGGCATCAAGGAGGAAATAAAATATTCATAATGTCTTTGAATTGTTCCCAAATTCCTAAATTTGGTTCTTTCCAAATTGGAACAACCTGTGCGGTCACCAGCATATATATATATCTCACATATATGATATGTATATCTGATATATATGATATATACGACATATGTTTTATATATATATCCTTTAAAGGATATATATCCTTTAAAAAGGAAGGACACTGGCCAGATGCAATGGCTCATGTCTGTAATCTCAGCACTTTGGGAGGCCAAGGCAGGCAGATCCCGAGGTCAAGAGCTCAAGACCAGCCTGGTCCATATGGTGAAACCCCATCTCTACTAAAAAAAAAAAACACAAAAATTAGTCAGGCGTGGTGGTGCAGGCCTGTAGTCCCAGCTACTCGGGAGGCTGAGGCAGGAGAGTCGCTTGAACCCGGGAGGCAGACGCTGTAGTGAGCCGAAACCGCGCCACTGCACTCCAGCCTGAGCGACAGAGTGAGACTTCGTCTCAAAAAAAAAGAAAGGACATTCTGACACACGCTACAACATGATGAACCTTGAGGACAACATGCTAAGTGAAATGAGCCAGTCATAATAAGACAAAGGCTGTACGAATCCATTCATATGGGTTCCCTAGAGTCGTCAGCTTTATAGAGACAGAAAGTAGAACGGTGGGTGTCAGGGGCTGGGGAATGGGGAACAGGGAGTCAGTGTTTCCTGGGAACAGAGTTTCACTTGGGAAGATGAAAATGTTTGTGAGATGAATGGTGGTGATGGTTGCACAACAACGTGAATCTACTTTGTAAAAGAAAATAAAATTTCAGAGGCTGGGCACAGTGGCTCACGCCTGTAATCCCAGTACTTTGGGAAGCCAACGCGGGTGGATCACCTGAAGTCAGGAGTTCGAGACCAGCCTGGCAAACGTGGTGAAACCTTGTCTCTACGAAAAATACAAAAAAATTGCCGAGCGTGGTGGCGGGTGCCTGTAATCCCAGCTACTCAAGAGGCTGAGGCAGGAGAACTGCTTGAACCCGGGAGGCAGAGCCTGCAGGGAGCTGAGATCGCACCACTGCCCTCCAGCCTGGGCAACAGAGTGAGACTCTGTCTCAAAAAATAAAAATAAAAAATAAAAATCCTTTGGGCTCCACCTACTCCACAGATAGATTTTCAAAATTCTATTGAAGCATTTCCAAACAGATTTTAAAACAAACTTGACAAGCTCATTATTTGGAATATAATAAAGAGGTTATATTATTTACTTGGGAATAAATAGCAAAGCTACAAGTGAGGACAGTAACCTCTTGAGATGGGAAGATGGGGACGGAATGAGCTTTAGTTTTCACTATAGAGATTGATACGTTTTGGTTCCGTGTGCACACGTGACTTATTCCACAAGTAAATGAAAACCTTTAAAGCCAGAGTAGTTTCAAAAATCATCCAAAAATTGCACAAGAATACCTGAGAACATTTTGATAGAGAAGAGCCATGACCAGGCAGGCCATAGTGGCTCATGCCTGTAAACTCAGCACTTTGGGAGGCTGAGGCAGGAGGATGAGTTGAGCCTGGGAGTTCAAGAACAGCATGGGCAACACAGTGAGACCCTATCTCTACAAAAAAATTTTAAAATGTAGCTAGATGTGGTGATGTACAAGTGTGGTCCCAGCTACTCAGGAGGCTGAGGTGGGAGGATCACTGGAGCCCATGAGGTCAAGGCTGCAGTAGGTCATGATTGCACCTCAGCACTTCAGCCTGGGTGACAGAGCAGGACCTTGTCTCACACACAAAAAGAGCCATGCCTGGTAGTTATCAAAATATATTATAAGCTTGGCTTGGGTTTCCCCCAGTGCAGAGCTTGAGACAAGGATATGGATATAAGTAAGTAGCTTATCTGGGAGGAGATTCCAAGAAGCACCAGCAGGGGACGGGGAGAATGAAGAGGAGCAGATAGGGAAAGGAAAGAACCCAATACAAAGGCACCAATGAACTGAAAAGGGCAACTGGGCCCAATTCCCCTGGGAGCCTCTGGGAGACAATACAGAACAAGCCTCACAGTTCCTCTGCCTGTTGAAGGTCAACTCTAAGTAAGATGGAATTTAGCTTACAAGCTGTTTATGAAGGAACGTCTTTGGGATCAACATCAGTAGAAGGGAAGTGATGTTTGTGGGGTCTTATTTACACCAAAAAAATGCTCTAATTCTAACACTAGCTTCCTGGAGTTAGCACCACATTCCACAAGTTAAAGGACTAGCTCCCAAAAGACTGATCCCGCTTCAGATGCCAGGTGCAAAGACAGTGCCTTTGCACTGTCTACCCACACTTACGCCAGGCTGGCAAAAAACTGGGGCTTCCGATAAGCCTATCTTAAGTTCAGTAATTTCCTAGAATTATTTAGAGAACTCAGGAAAACATTTTGTTTATGCTGTTGCTGAACTAAACTGGGTCAGTTCCCTGGCTCACAGTGGAAAATCAAACACTGAAGCACTGGGGTTTTGTAGAGAGAAAAATTTATTCCAAGGCAGCCAAGCAACGGGACACAAGTCTGGCCCAAATCTGTCTCTCCAAGCTGGGGGCTGAGGCAGATTTTATACACAGAGAGTAGTAAGGCATGATGTGATTGGATCTTGTAATGAGGGGATTCAGGAGGCTTGATCTGATTGGATCATGCCCTGGAGTGATGCCAGGACTCAGTCTGATTGGATCACAGATCATGCCACGTGGTGTCCACTTCTTAACTCAGTCCCTGTTCCTCAGTCTGAGCACTTAGGTTCCGCCTGGATCTGTACACTTGGTTCATCTGGGCATGCCCAGGGTACGTAACTTGCAACCTGGGGGTCCACGGCAACTGAAAAACAACTCGCCATTTTATTACACAAAGTTGAACCAGATTGGGCTGGATCTGCGGTTACAATGTTTGCCGGTTTATTATAAAGGATACAACTAGAGGGGCGGGGCAGTGCCGGCAAGATGGCTGCGCCCGAGAAGATGACATTTCCAGAGAAACCAAGCCACAGAAAGTACAGGGCCGCCCTGAAGAAGGAGAAACGAAAGAAACGCCGGCAGGAACTTGCTCCACTGAGGGACTCAGGACTCTCACAGAAGGAGGAGGACGCTTCTATTGAAAAACAACAACTAGAAAAGCTATGGGGAAGAGAGAGGCAAAGATTACATGAGGAGTGATTGCTGAGCAGAAGGCACAGGAAGAATTCAGAATAAAGAAAGAAAAGGAAGAGGCGGCTAGAAAACGGCAAGAACAAGAGCGAAAGTTAAAGGAACAATGGGAAGAACAGCAGAGGAAAGAGAGAAGAGGAGGAACAGAAATGAGAGGAGAAGAAAGAAAAACAGGAAGCTGTCCAGAAGATGATGGATCAGGCTGAAAATGAGTTGGAAAATGGCGCCACATGGCAAAACCCGGAACCCCGCCTTGGATTTCAGAGTCATGGAGAAGGATCCAGCTAATTGTCCCTTCTACAGTAAAACAGGAGCTTGCAGATTTGGAGATAGATGTTCACGTAAACATAATTTCCCAACATCCAGTCCTACCCTTCTTATTAAGAACATGTTTACAGCGTTTGGAATGGAGCAATGCAGGAGGGATGACTATGACCCCGTCGCAAGCCTGGAGTACAGCAAGGAAGAAACCTACCAACACTTCCTAGATATCTATGAGAATGTGCTGCCCGAGTTCAAGAACGTGGGGAGAGGCCGGGCGCGGTGGCTCCGGCCTGTAATCCCAACACTTTGGGAGGCTGAGGCGGGCGGATCACGAGGTCAAGAGATAGAGACCATCCTGGCCAACATGTTGAAACCCCGTCTTTACCAAAAATACAAAAATTAGTTGGGCGTGCACACCGTGCCCAGTAGAGGCACAAGTGACTGCAGCAGGGGCTGGTGCAGCCGGAGCCAGAACTGCAGGAGCCCTCACAGCTGGAGCCAAAGTTCTCTAGGTCCCGAAGTCATGGCAGGAGGAGATCAGGTAGCAGAGACAGAACTATTCAGAGTCCCAAATCCAAATAAACCTGTTTTATTCTTACAAAAAATAATAGGCCAGGCGCGGTGGTGCACACCTGTAATCCCAGCACTTTGGGAGGCCGAGGGGGGCAGATCTCCTGAGGTCGGGAGTTGGAGACCAGCCTGACCAACACGGAGAAACCCCATTTCTACTAAAAATACAAAAAATTAGCCGGGCCTGGTGGCACATGACTGTAATCCCAGCTGCTCAGGAGGCTGAGGCAGGAGAATCACTTGAACCCGGGAGGGGGAGGTTGTGGTGAGCCAAGATCGCGCCATGGCACTCCAGCCTGAGCAACAAGAGCGAAACTCCATCTCGAAAAATAATAATAATAATAATAACATAAAGAATACAACTTAGAAACAGCCAAATGGAAGTCATGTATAAGACAAAGGAAGATGTGGGAGGTGGAAGCGGTTGTATGGAGCCTCCATGCCTCTCTGGGTGCCATTGGTAGACTGGGGGAATTAATTCCCTGGTACTTCCAGGCTGCAAAATGAGCTCTTGCAACCAGTAAGTCCCCAGTCAAAGGGGTGCAGGAGGTGGTAGGTGGAAGTTGAACAGATTGTAGGTTTGCATATATGAGGTAACGCCGCAGGGGACATAGAAGCTACACATGGCAACCCAAATATTCTGATCTCGGAAAGGAAGAGAGAGTGGATTCTTGGAACACAAGTCCACCCCCACAAAGGCATCCCACACCAGCTCACTCATAAAGCTCCAAAGATGGGCCAGAAAAACAAGCTCTATACCAGGGGAACTTGGAGGCATGACAGGAAGGACAGAATGTGGACCCAGCTTTCTAAAGGAGAAAGAATCTGACAGAGAACAGTCCCAGAGATTTTTGTGAAGGTCGCAGGATGGAGAGAAGGAACTGTAGCTTAAAAGTGGGTGAAGTTCTGCTACTCAGGAGGGGGGTTTGGGGTGGTAGGGGTTGGGGAGAGCAACCGTTCTTCATCCCCGGAGCAGGAGGCCGCGGACTTTTTGCAGATCCAGAATTTGGCAAGATTGCATTTGTCATCGTTCCAGCCATTGCCACTAAATTCCGCACAGTCTTCCTCCCCAATATTGTTGGGCTCTCCTTTGTTCCAATACTGCTTGAAGCTGCAAAGCGCATGCAGAATGTGAGCCTCTGTCCCCCACTCCCCCCGCCCCGGCTACATGAGCTGTGTTTCTACCTTCTGTCGTCTTGGTGCTTTAACATCTGCCCTGTGTGTTTATGCTGGACATGAATCCCTCTGCATACCTGACAATATGCCTGACTCATGGTGCCTTGGGTTCCTGCCTCTCTTCTCACAACCTGTCCTTGGGTGGACTCCACCTATTGAGGGTGTGATTTTCAAATACAAACCAACCAATCTGGAGTCCATACCCCCAGCCACCTGCCTTAATGGGCTCTTGTACTCCAAGCCACTATCCTGTGCTAATCAACCCAAGGCCAGATGTTAGACAGCTAGGGGCAGCCCCTGTGCCCCAGAACCCACAAATGCTTCATACTTCCCAATCCTAAGCCTGTTCACCTGGCCTTGACCTTTCCTTTCCATACAAACCATAATAAAGGCTCTGGCCCACAGTCACCCCTCCCCACCACTCTGCCTCATAACAGACCCTGGTGCTTCCCCAGGTGGCCCCCAGCTGTGATGTGTCCTCTCTCTAGGGATCTGTGTATATGAGAAGCTACTCACAATGGTAGGTGTCTCCTGAGCTGGTGGCCTTACTAGACCTTAGATTTCCTATTAATACACTATATTTTAACACACCCACCCATGGGGTAAGCTCCTCCTGCAGCTTTGCTGGTGGAATTTTAGGCACCTGCTATGCTGTCTGGAGGTGGGTAAGAAGACCACCTTCCTCAACTCAGTAAAACTCCCAGATTCTTGGGTCTAGAGTGTCAGGGAGTTGGGGAGGATCCCCAGGGGAAGTTCAAGTCAGAGTTGCAGAGCCCCAGCCCCAGCGGATGGAATGCCCCTTCTGAGATCTACCTGGGCAGCAGAGGTGAGCCATCCACCCATTGCCATGTGCCTTCGTGATTTAGGTCTGAAAGTCCCATCCAGGTGAAGCGGTTACTTCTGGAAGACTGCAGCTGTAGGAAGTTCTGGAGGGTAGAGGAGGAGTCAGGAGGGAGCTCTGCTTCCCATTTTCCAGACTCTGTCTCCCCATCTCTTGACAAGAAGTTCTGCTTGTAGGCTAACCTTCAGCCTTCCAGTACACGGGGTCCTGAGCCCCCTCGTGTCTGACTCTCTCTCACATGTGTATCCCACGGCACATGTGTCCTGACGTGCACACATCCATGCACAGCTGGCCTCTCTTCACACACTCTTGCTAACACTGCATGTTTATCCATTTTATACATTCTGTGCACGTCTGCACACATTTACTCATAACTGGGCTTAATGTATTGGAGCCACATCCATTTCCTAATTGCTGGTCATGCACATCTCCTTTCAGCTCTGCACTGAGTGACATCACATCGACAGCTTGAAATCAGCTGCCATGGGAATATTTACACCAGGGAAATTGGCAAACACAACGCATCAGGACTTCCTCCCCCAGAGAGCTGGTTGTTAACCACTTGTGGCATGCCACTGGGGGTGACTTATAGTTTACATTTTCCCCAGAGCTTTCACACATGTTCAGACTCGGTTTGTATCTGCTCTAAGGGTACTTGGGACTCCCTCATTCATATCCTTCTCTTCCCATCTTTCCAAGTGGAAGAAAACCCCTCTTCTGCAAAATCGTCTTTCAGCATCTCCTCCCCTGTTGGCCAGAAGCCATGCCCCAGGCCAGGACGGGGACCCCCACCAGGCGTACCTGCTCCTCAGCACTTTTGATTACAACGAGCTGGGCCCCCACCTCCTGGCAGGCGGTGATGGAGTCATGCCAGTTCCGCTGGGAGTTAGACATGAAATAACAGTTTCCTTGGAAGAATGTCCATTCCCAGGGACAGGGGCGGCACAGGCGTTCTGTTGGGAGAGGCCGGTCAGGGCTGGGCTCAGATTAGGTTGTCCATATTCCTGTATCTGCCCAGCCTTCAAGGTCTTGAGAGTCGGAGCCCTTCCTTCACTGTCCACGCTGGGTGGACCATTCCCCTCCCCACTTCCCGAGACCCTCCCCAATTCCCATGAGAACCCAGGAGTCCTGGCCCCATCTCCTCCAGACTAGGAGAAGTCGGGGCTTTAGAACTTAGAACAGAGGCAGGAGACCGGCTTAATTCAGTGCCTACTGTGTACCCGGCCCACTGTGAACACCGAGTGCCATCATCACAGCTACCCTGTGTTCTCATTTCACAGATGAAGAAACTGTGACTCAGGCAGGGTCAGTGACAAGCAAACTCACACCACACAACGACCATCTCAGGCCCAAGGAGCCCTGGTTCCAGGATCTCACCCACTGCAGCCTTCAGCTGGATCAGCTCCTGGTAGATCTCCTGTTGCTTGGACCTGTCTGGCAACCCATCGACTGCAGCCTTCAGCTGGGTCAGCTTCTGGTAGATCTCCTGCTGCTTGGATTTCTCTGGGAGATCACCCACTGCAGCCTTCAGCTGGGATAGCTCCTGGTAGATCTCCTGCTGCTTAGATTTCTCTGGAAGCTCACCCACTGCAGCCTTCAGCCGGGTCAGCTCCTGGTAGATCTCCTGCAGCTTGGACAGTTTCTGGAAGCTCACCCTGCAGCCTTCAGCCGGGTCAGCTCCTGAGCAGATCTCCTGCCAGCCCAGATTTCTCTGGAAGCTCACCCACTGCAGCCTTCAGCCGGGTCAGCTCCTGGTAGATCTCCTGCTGCTTGGATTTCTCTGAGGGAGCTCACTGACTGCACCCCAAGCTACACACTGCAGCCTTCAGCCGGGTCAGCTCCTGGTAGATCTCCTGCTGCTTGGATTTCTCTGAGAGCTCACTGACTGCAACTTTAAGCTGGGTCAGATTCTGGTAGATCGCATCTTGTTTGGATTGTCCCTGACTTAGGGAGCTAGGGACTTTGGACACTGGGTCAAGAAAGAAAAGGAACTGCAATTATTAAACACCTACTGTGTGCCAAGCCCTGAACTGAGCCCCCGGGGACATCATTTGTGAGAGCCAAGGTCTCCGTTAATCGCCTTTGAAGATGAGGAAAACTGACACCCGGAGAAGGCAGCACAGAAGGCCAAGGACAGCCAGGTTCTTCCCCTCCTCCTCCTCCTCCTCCCTCTCCTCTCCTGCCCTAGAGTGGGGAGGAGCTGTGGGAGAGGCCCCTACAAACCCCCAGGGACAACATCTTGACTCTCAACCCCACCTCCCTCCCAGACCTGGCTGCCCCAGGCTGTGTCCACAGCCAAAAGCCAGGCCTGGGGACCCCAGACCCTCAGAACCTGCGTCTGACCTTGGACAAGGAGCCCAGCCAAGAGCGTGAAGGAGAGGAGTTGCAGCACCAGGGGGCCATGGCCAAGACACCCTGAGAGAGGATACATGCGTCAGCCTGCCAGTGTCCCCACCTGAGCCTGGCCCAGGGGGAGCCTGGCCTAAATCCCTCAGCACCCCAAGACTCAGGAACCCCAGCTCCAGCCCCGTCCACTCCAACACCTGGGAATCCAGGCCCTAGCTCGCACCTCCCCAGTACCCAGAAATCCCAGTCCCAGCCCCCTCCACTCCAACACCTGGGAATCCAGGCCCTAGCTCACCAGGACCCAGAAACCCCGTCCCCAGCTTACCCCTCCCTAGGTCCCAGGAACCAGGTACCTGGTTCTACCTCCCCAGGACCCAGGAATCCAGGCCCCAGCCTCTACATCCCCAGGTCCCTGGAACCCAGGCTCCCAGCCCCTACCTCCCCAGGACCCAGGAACCCAGGACCCAGCCTTTCCCTCCCCAGGTCCCAGTAACCCAGGTACCTACTCCCACCTCCCCAAGACCCAAGAATCTGGGTCCCAGCCCGTACATCCCCAGGTCCCAGGAACCCAGGCCCCAGTCCCCACCTCCCCATGATCCAGGAGTCCAGGCCCAGGCCCCCACCTCTCCAGAACCCAGGAGTCTAGGCCCCTGACCCTACCTCCCCAGGACCCAGGAACCCAGGCTTCAACTTCTATCTCCCCAGAACCCAGAAGTCTTGGCCCCAGCCTCCACCTTCCCAGGAATCAGGAATTCAGGCCCCAAACTCAACCTCCCCAGTTCCCAGGAGTCCAGGCCCCCAGCCCCACATCCCCAGGACCCAAGAGTCCAGGCCCCAGCGTCCAGCTCCTCAGGACCCAGGAGTTCAGGAGTCTCTCTTCTCTCCTCCCAAGCTGCTAACTCCTCTCTACCTGCTAAGCTCTTGTAGCCTCGAGTCTGTCGGAATCCAACGCCTCCCAGCTGTTCCTCCTCTGAATGGATAGACGTGAACTCAGAGCCTGGGCAGGCTGAGGCCAGGGCTGGCCATCCCTTCTCCCTTCCCAGAATCCCAGCGTCCCAACCCAGCCTCACCCAGGAGGCCCAGCTGCTGCAGTCTTGGTTCCTTGGAGTCACTCATGTCACCCCACTCTCCTGCAGTGTCCAGAACTCCTGGGGGCTGGAGCTTTTGTTTCCCATCCTGTGATCTTTACTTCCTAAATCTAGACTCCCACAGGAAGAGAAACAGGAAGTTGGGTAGGTATCTGTCACCCAAAAGGCTAGTGGAAGGGATCAGAGCATGAGATGGGCCGGATCTTTCAAGAATTTCAGGGAGGGGGTGGGTGATGGTTTGGGGTTGACAGGGAGAAGGACTGGTCCACTCATGGATGGCTGAGCAGTGAGATGCTTTTAATGAAATCTGATAAATTGTAAGAGGAAGCTACTGTGTTACACCCCCTCCACCTAGGGCAAGGGTGAGCAGGTAGCACCCCCAATTCCTGGAAGCACTGTCCCTTGTGACCTCCTGGCTTTCCTGCCTTGAGCTGCTGCTGTCCTCATTTTCGGGGATTCTTGCTGACTTTGGGAGTTGGGACAGAATTATAATTGCTTGTTTATTGAATGCCTAGGATAGTCAGGTACTTTTCCAACAGCTTTATAAACTCATTCATTTAATGTTCCTACCCTTCAGTAGATTATATGACCTCCATTATACAGATGGGGAAACTGAGGAGGCACTGCAAGGTTAGCTGACGGGCCCAAGGTCATATAACTGGTAAATGGTGGGGTTGAGGCTTGAACCCAGACAGTCTCACTCCACAGTGCATACTGTTAACCAAAGAGTGAAACAGTATCAAAGAGGAAAGAAAAGATCCATAGCAGCTTTATTTAGAATGATCTGAAATTGGAATAAACCCTGTGCCCACCAGCAGGTGAATGATAAAAAATATAATGGCATATTTAGAGATTGGAATACTATACAGCAATGAAAAAGCTAAGTACTGATACATTTAATAACATAGATAAATCTCACAAAACAGGAAAAGGACCAAGACAGAGTGAGTACACACTGTAAGATTTGATTTTATGTGAATTTCGAGAACAGGCAGAACTAACCTTTGAAGGAGACTCAGAATGGGAATTATCAGGAAGGAACCAGTGGAGATTGACAATGGAGTTTCTGTATGCTGGAAATGTTCTATATTTTGATCATAGAGATGTGCATCTACCACATATGTGTTAAACCTCAATGTAAAGATGGAAAATACCTATATGTATCATAATCAAATCATGGTTTTGACCTGATCTTTACTTTGTGTTCTTAAAATGTTTTAATTTTATAATAATTTTGGGTTTATAGCGAAGTTGCAAATGTAGGAAAGAGATTTCCCATACGTAAATTCCTAACCTCGGGATCCCCAGTGTGAACCCAGTTTCTCCTAATGGTAACATTTCACATGGTAATGAGGTAGGAAACTGGTAGAACTTGTTTTCTGGCCACAACCCTGCAGACCTACACAGAATCTGGTCCAGACGAGATGATGTGAAGAAACCAGCAGGAACCAGCAGATGGCAACAAAAGCAATCCCTGGCTGCCTCATTGCTCGTGGGTATAAGATGCTCCCACCAGTGCCCTGACTATTTACCAATGCCATGGCAGCGACCCAGAAGTTACCACCTCTTTCCACGGAAACAACCTGGATGTTGCCGCCCTTTTCCTAGAAACTTCTAAAGAAACTGCCCCTCAATTTGCATTGACCCACCCCTTAACTGACATATAACTGAAAGTGAGTTGACATGAGTATAACTACAGTTGCCAAGAGCTTGTATGTTGTTGACTCTGGGTGCACTGCCTATGAGTTAGCCCTGCTTCACAGGGAGCAGTACCATTACATAAAAAATCTCTGTCTAAGGCCAGGTGCGGTGGCTCATGCCTGTAATCCTAGCACTTTGGGAGGCTGAGGTGGGCGGATCACAAGGTCAGGAGTTCGAGACCCTCCTGGCTACATGGTGAAACTCCATCTCTATTAAAAATACAAAAAAATTAGCCAGGTGTGGCACGTGTCTGTAGTCCCAGGTACTCGGGGGGCTGAGGCGGAAGAATTGCTTGAACCTGGGAGGCTGAGGTTGCAGTGAGCTGAGACTGCAACACTGCACTCCAGCCTGGGCGACAGAGTGAGATTCTATCTCAAAAACAAACAAACAAACAAGAAAACGGTGGCTCACACCTGTAATCCCAGCACTTTGGGAGGCCAAGGCGGGCACCTGAGGTCAGGAGTTCGAGACCAGCCTGACCAACATGGAGAAACCCCATCTCTACTAAAAATACAGAATTAGCCGGGCATGGTGGCTAAAACCTGTAATCCCAGCCACTGGGGAGGCTGAGGCAGTAGAATCGCTTGAACCTAGGAGGCAGAGGTTGTGGTGAGCCAAGGTTGTGCCATTGCACTCCAATTTGGGCTACAGAGGGAGACTCCATCTCAAATAATAACAATAATAATAATAATAATAATAATAAACCAAATAAACAATTTAAAGTAAAAAACCTACATAAGTATCGCAATAGATCAAATTAAAGTGTTCAATAAAACTCAACAGTGACTCGTGATTTACATTTTTAAAAGTCTTAGTCAACTAAGAGTAAAAGGAAATATCTTTTTTTTTTTTTTTTTTTTTTGCGACGGAGTCTCGCTCTGTCCAGGCTGGGGTGCAGTGGTGCGATCTCAGCTCACTGCAAGCTCCGCCTCCTGAGTTCATGCCATTCTCCCGCCTCAGCCTCCCAAGTAGCTGGGACTACAGGCACCCACTGCCATGCCCAGCTAATTTTTTGTATTTTTTAGTAGAGACGGGGTTTCACCTTGTTAGCCAGGATGGTCTCGATCTCCTGACCTCATGATCTGCCCACCTCGGCCTCCCAAAGTGCTGGGATTACAGGCATGAGCCACCACGCCCAGCCTATTGTACACTTTATTTCTATTATTATTGCATTGTAATATATAAGGAAATAATTATACAGATCACCATCATGTAGAATCGGTGGGAGCCCGGAGCTTGTTTTCTTGCAAATAGACGGTCCCATCTGGGGGTGATGAGAGACAGTGACAGATCATCAGGCATTAGATTTTCATAAGCAGTGTGCAACCTAGATCCCTCATATGCACAGTGCACAATAGGGTTCCCACTCCTATGAGAATCTAATGCCACCGCTGATCCAACAGGAGGCAGTGCTCAGGCAGTAATGCAAGCAATGGGGAGCAGCTGTAAATACAGATGAAGCTTCACTTGCTCGCCCTCCATTCACCTCGTGCTGTGCAGACTGGTTCCTAAGATGCCATGGAGCAGTACTGGTTTGTGGCCCAGGGGACAGGGACCCCCATTCTACATCATCTCCCAGAGGCTCCCAGAGAAACTGAGTCCCAGTTGCCTACATGGGTCATAAGCTTGTCCATGCCTGTAAATTGGCTTCCTTCCTTTTCCTACCTGCCCCTCTTCACTTTCCTCCTTGTCTTCTGGTACTTCTTGGAAGTCCCTCCCAGATAAACAACTTGTATCAAAATTCTCGTCACAGGATTTGTCCCTGGCGAAACTCAAGCCAAACTTATAGTATGTTTTGATACCTGTCAGTCATGGTTCTTCTCCATCAAAATGTTCTCAGCTATTCTTGTGCAATTTCTTTTTTTAGATGATTTTTACATGACTCTTGCTTTAAAGGTTTTACTTTACTTTTTGAATAAGTCATGTGTGCACCTGGAACCAAAACCCATCAGTCTCTACAGTGATAATGAAAGCTGGTTCCCAGCCGGGCACAGTGGCTCACGCCTGTAATCCCAGCACTTAGGGAGACTGAGGCGGGTAAATCACCTGAGGTCAGGAGTTGGAGCCCAGCCTGGCCAACGTGGTGAAATCCCGTCTCTACTAAAAATACAGAAATTTGCTGGGCATGGTATCACATGCCTGTAATCCCAGCTACTCAGGCGGCTGAGGCAGGAGAATCACTTGAGCCCGGGAGGAGGAGGTTGCAGTGAGCTGAGATCACGCCATTGCACTCTAGCCTGGGCGACAAGAGGGAAACTTGGTCTCAAAAAAAAAAAAAAAAAAAAAAAGAGAGAAAAGAAAGAAAGCTGGCTTCCTCCCCATTCTCTGATCTGAAGAAGTTACTCTCCCTAGTTGCAACCTCTATATCATATTCCTGATAATCCACTTATCAAATTTGTTTTAAAATCTGTTTGGCAATCCTTCAATAGAATTTTGAAAATCTCTTTGTGAGTAGGTGGAGCACAGAGGATTTTTAGGGCAGGCAGGGAAACGACCCTGTATGATACTGCAACATCGTTACACATTTGTTCAAAGCATAGAATGTACAACGTCAAGAGTAAACTCTGATGTAAACTGCAGACTCTGGGTCGCAATGGTTTGTCAGTACAGGCTCATCCATTGTAACAGTGCACCACCCACTCTGGTGGCGGATGCTGCATAAAGGATGTTAACAGTGATACAAGCAAGTTGCTCAGCTATTACCTCATGTTGGTGCTCTCCAAAGCTCAGCCCTACCCAAGAAAATCTTATGCGTCAGTATCTAATTTTGGGGGACAATTGGCAGAAATGTCCATCAAGGCGAATGTTTTGGGGAAAACGTCAAATGTAAGCAAACCACCGTGGCGTGCTGCAAGTGTTTTAACAGCCAGCTCTCAGGAGAGAAACTATCAGTACTTTCGGAAAACTTAAAGGCTGGGAGAGAATGGGATGATATATTCAGAGTGCTGAAAGAAACAAACTGTCAGGCTGCTGTAATCCTTTGCAGTGAGTCACTCAGTCCAGCTCCACTCAAAGGAGTGTAAAAATGTGTGAACATATGTTAAAACCGCCATGCTAATTAGTAAGTATTTGAGGGGGAGGTGAAACTTGGAGGTTATGGATCTGCAGCATCTCGGCTCTTGCCTCATCAGAGGAAAGAATTCATCTAAGAGGAATAAGGCAGAAAGCGAGACTGAGGCAAGTTTTATTGAAGGAGTGAAAGTGTATCAAAAAGTTTTAGAACAGAACAACAGGAAGTAAAGTACACTTAGAAGAGGGCCACCCAGGCAACTTGAGAGATTGAGGTGCTCAGTGCAACCACTGACTTGGGGTTTAATATGTTGGCATGCTCTGGAGTTTCACGTCTCTTCTCCCCTGATTCTTTGTTGTTGAGGTGGAATTTTGTTCTTGTCACCCAGGCTGGAGTGCAATGGCACAGTCTCGGCTCACTGCAGCCT